TCATTCTTCTTGTCCATGACTACACAAACCCAAATCCAACATAACAGCAAGAAAAGTCCACAAGCATCACGTGTGGGGTGATCGAGGCAAATGGATGAGGAACTACCTGCAACCAGTCATCTAGAATAAGTGCACACTTAATGCACCTTTTGTACAAAGCAGGCATTAAAATAATTGTTATGATAATTAAAATAAGTGTTATCCTATGAGCAGGAAATTTCCTTGGATTTTCTATGAAATTTTGAGCATAAATTAGTTAGAAATTGAGAATTGAACAACCATATCTCATTCTCCTCTTTCTTTCCTTCAATGGCCACTTCATGCTTCTCTACCAAGTGTAACTGAAATCTGAACATTACAATGATCTCAAATTTTCCTTTCTATTCTGTTACGAGGTCTCTAATAAAAGGCAAAATACAACAACTTTTTAGAATAATAATATCTATACCCACATCCATAAACACTACCCTCTTCAGAAGCTGTACCTTTAATTTTGCTTAACCTCAACTTTTTAATATGACAGTACAACCAAGAGATTGCAACATCATCATGTATTTGATTAAAGATGCAGCCCCTTTATAGTACATTTCCAGTAAGATAAAATATTCAGTAGCATGATTTCTAGACAATAAATTTTCCACAGTATGACTTATAGCTGGCTCATCAGCCACAAAAGCTGAATAATAATCAAAGTTAACCTCCATATTTCTAAAAGGAAGACACTGGTGTTTCCAATCTTAATTCTTCGCCTGACATTGGTTAAAGAGGTGCTAATACCCCCACATTTTACAGTGCCATCAATATTGCAAATAAATGCACAACACAATGAAAATATTTATGTGTGGTACTATCCAGAAAGATATAGTTAGGAAAAATATGGTAAAGTATAAGTAACCTTGACAAATTAGGCTTCATTGAAATACTTTTCCAGGCCTTGCCCAGAAACATAAATAATTCATAAAGCCCAGAACTAAATACAAATGAAGAGCATTTGTTATTAATCTATACCTTTTTTTTTTTTTTTGGCCAGAGCATTTTTCTTTTATAATGAAACTCATTGTAAACTACTTTTTCTGCTGGCCTGTGCCATTACCTGCAAGTTACAAAATGTCTAATTTATCATCATACAACTAACCACACTGACTGGGGGGTTTGTTTGTCTTTTTGTAAACAGTCCACAAGATGCTTAGAATATTAAGTCATCATCAGATCACATATGACAAATATTTGGAATGTTAATGTCTCCTGGGAACTCTTAATACAGATTGACCAATCCATTAGTGAAACATGTAGTTATATGACAAATGTCTTTACCTAAGGGTAGAAATTTTTCACATCAGTGAAAATTTAAATTCCATTTTCAACGTGAAAAAGACACAGTTTATTCTTTAAGAAATTAAGTGAGAAAATGGATAGATTAAAGAAGAATCAATGAACTTGGACCTTGTCCTAAAGTCCTCTCATTAAAAACCAGAATATTCTATTCGGCTGAGTCAACTTTAAAAAAGTAGAAAATGAATAGTTTGACCTGTTTGACATCTGAAAGGGTGGTTGATTTGTTCTATTTTAAATAATAGTTAGCATTCCAATCTCTTTAATTTGTAGCTATTAGTAGAAGGGAATTTTTTATATCCTTCAGTGTCATTTATATGTATGTATATATGTATGTATATATATTTGAATATCTCAATGAAGTATGGAAAAAAGGATTATAAAGAATGAAATTACAAGGGTGGTGAGATGGAATGAGGGAGATATAATAATGTAAAAATAATAAAAGATTACAGGGAGAAAAGTTGGAAAATCATGTCATGTAATACATGAACTTATCTACACAATAATCTATTAAGGGAACAGGAGAGGTAGTTACCTTTTTAGACACTGCTGAGATATTAGAATAGAGTAAAAAACACACCAGAGTTTGAGTCATATCTTTGTCTCTTATTAGTTTAGTGTCCTTGTTAGGTTATGGAAACTCATGAAGAAAAAATTCTCTCAAGTGTTAAACATTAAAATAAAAATCTTGTAAAGGTAGCTTGTAAATTAAGTGTCCAGTCTGTGGCACATGATAGGAAACCCATCAAAGTTAGTTTCCATCCCCTCTTAATGAATCAGGATTTTGGGAACAGGCCCAGAGTCCTAGGACTACAGGCAAGCTCTTTCTCCATTCTTATCTTCAGCAAGGAAATAATTCAATGTTGACACCAAAGATACAGAAAAGTAAGAGATTTATTGATAGATAAGAAGAACAGGAAAGCTCAGCTTGCTGCATAGAAAGGACTCCTGAATGGGTTGCTGGTTGAGGTGGCAAGAAGCAGGTGTTTATAAGGAGTGGGAGCTTGGCTGTTGGGTGTCTGTGTTGTCTCTTGCTGATTGGCTGGCCTGTGGGGAGTCTCCTAGGCCACCTAGGTTCACAGAGTTTGCAGGGTTTTCCTAGGCTACAGAGGCCCACTGTTTTTGCCCACATTACCTGGCCTACCTTCCTAAAACTAGCTTTGGCCCGTTGCTTTAGCATTGTGTTATTTCTTGGTGTTCTGGACATTTCACTCTTTACTGAGTTGGGGGACCCCCTCAAATGACCCATGATTGAGTCAGTTTGTTGTTCTCCAATCAGACTGATAAATGGACTTGGGTTCTTGGGGCATCCTGTTCCTAGAGACTGTCTATATCATTTCCTAATTTCCTCCTTCATTAATGAGAGAGGAAAAAAGGAACAAGATGGCATGAAAAGAGGTTCCTTGCTTCACTTCCAAGAGGATCATCTCAAGTTCCCCAAGAGACACATAACTGAGAAAGTCCGTGGCTTACACTAAACTAGAGCACCCATTTGATATCAGAAACTGGCACAGACTGCACTAAAAAGGACATGGATGAGATTCATGGTTCACTGAACAAGAAGTGCACAGAGAGATATGTCTGGAGGCTGTAGTCCAGGACTTGGAAGGAAGGAGAATATCAGAGACTGTAGAGATGCAGCTCAGTCATGGGCCCTGGGCACAGGAGAACTAAACAGCATTCAGGCACACCCCTTGATCAAGGAGAAATACCTTTGGAAGAGCTGGGGTTCCCCCCACCAGCCAGGCCACTTCCCAGTTAAAAAAATACAAAGGCAGTGCACTGAATTACACTCCCCTAAATCCCACACTTCAGGACTAGTAGTGACCTCATAAAGTCACTCATAGTTCACAGAGCAGCCAGGGCCCCACCCCCACCAACACATTTTCACCAGCAAATGGACCTTCAGGTTTTTCTCTCAACGCATAACTCAGCAACTGTAAAAAATAGGTTCCAGTTCCTGTGAAAGCTGGCAAAGGTCACCAAACTTATGTGCAGTGAAAGAAACTAGCATTAAAACAAAAAGGTGCGTTGGGTCTTCTTTGGTAGCGCAAGGGGTTAAGTCTCAGCACTGTGAAGCTATCCACAGCCACTGCAGCACAAGTTCGATCCCCAGGCAGGGAGGTGACCCATATGATGCAGCAGACCTCTCCTGTCTTACCCACTCTGTCTCTGGTAAATCCTCTAACCCCCCTGTGCCTCTGCCCTGTACCCCAGTTCTTGTATGCATAATCTTTTTTAAAAAAAAAAAAGACGCCCTATTGAATGGGAGGAAATAGTTGCATATCATATCTCTAACAAGTGCCACATACTCAAAATCTAATAAAACTCAACAGGGGCCTCCCCTGGTGGTGCAGGCGGTTGAGCACTGTGCTGTGAAGCTCTTCCCAGCCTCTGCAGTGCGGGTTCGATCCCGGCCAGTTGGCGAGGGTCGCACATGGCGCGGCAGAGTTCTCCTGTCTCGCCCGCTGCCCGCCTCAGCAGTGTATTTTGTCAGTCTTCCTGTTACTGGTCCCCGCTCTGTGTCTGGTGACTCCCCTCATCCTCCCGCACATCTGGTCTGTACCCCGGTTCTTGTATAAATAAATAAATCTTAAATAAAATAAAACTCAACAAAAATCAAATAGTCAAATAAAAAAATTGACTAAAGAGCTAAATAGACACTTTCCTAAAGAAGACATACAGATGGCCAACAGCCATATAAAAAAAAAAGGTGCATTACTTATCATCAAAGCAAGTCAAAAAATCAAAACCAAAATAAGATACCACCTCACACTGTGCCAATGGCCCATATCAAAAAGTCCAGTAACAACAATGTTGGCCAAAATTTGGGAGAAAGGAATCCTGGTACACTCGGTGAGAGTGAAGATTGATCCAACCTGTAGGGTAAATGATTGTTAGGCTTTTCTGCCCTCCTGCCATTAGGATTAATGATGGATCCCTGTGGCCTTGAATGCATGCCTGATGGTGAGCACCTGGAGTAGGGTGTGGGCATACTAGGTGGGTTCACCTGGGCTGAGATGGGGCTTATGAGGGCGGCGTCACAGAACAGAACCACTGAAAGGGAACAAGCAAGATACCAGAGCAGACGGGAACAGCCAGCATAAGACAACGAACGAGACCACGAGAGAACGCCAGAGAGAGCCCAGAAAGAGAGATTTGCCAGGGGCTGGGAGGCCTGCCAGCCTCCCTGCACCCCTAGCACCCCTGCCTGCCATGCACTTGGTAAAATCCCAATAAAAGCCTAAAAAGGCCACCGAGGGCTCCAGGACGCTCCTTTACCCATCTGCATTGGATCATAGAGATCCTGCTCTACGCCATCGCCACCCGGCCGCTACACAGAGCCTAGGAAAGCAACATGAATTTTTCTCAAAACAAACTCAAAAACTAAAAACTCTCAAAAACTAAAAACAGAGCTACCATATGATTCAGAAATTCCACTCCTAGGTATTTACCCAAAGAAAGCAAAAACACTAATTTGAAGGGCTATGTGCGCACTGTTTTGCAGCCATCCCAGGCAGGGTAGGCTCACCCTCGCTTCAGGCAGCTTAAAAGATTGGAGCCCTGGGCATCATCCCCGCAGGTTGTTTAAACAGTACGCAAGGAAAACAGGCAGCAGGGAGACAGCAACTTGGGCTCCCCTGCAAATCTCTATATGCTCTTACCTCTGGGCTTTCTCTGGCGTCTTCTCCTGGTCTCTACCTCTCGCAGCCGTTGCTCGTCCTCGCGTAGCCATTCCGCCATCTTAGCCTCCTCCTGTCTCTGAGTGATGCCGTCATTATATCGTCCGCCTCCAGGCTCAGGTGTGCCCACTGACACGCACGCCCGAACCCTACTCCAGGTGTCCACCATCAGGCAAACATGCCCTGAGCCCACACTTTCAAGTGCCTTCTGCAGTCAAGGCTGCAGGTGATAGTCACAAAAACCAACAGAGTAAAATCCCAACCAATCTTTACTTACCCTACACACACCTATATTCATTGCAGCACTATTTACAATAGCCATGGAAACCTAATTTCCTAATGACAGAGGAGTAAGTAAAGACAAGGTGGTATATAAAGACAATAAAATACTATTTAGCTATTAAAAAAAAAGATGAAACCTTGCCATTTGCAATAATGGGTGAAACTGTAGGGGTCATACTCAGCAAATAAGTCAGAAGTGTGAGTGAGGCGTGTAGTGAAAAAAGACAAAGGAACAGTTAAAACTAAACCAAAACAAATCCTAGATATCTGATTGTAAATTGCTACTGTCAGAGGGGAAGTGTGGGGATGGGAAGTAACATGGGAAGGAGGACTAATGGGTTAAGAATTATAGGTGCCGGGCCTCCCTGGTGGTGCAAGGGGTTAAGACACACCCTATGAAGCCATCCGCAGCCACTGCAGCATGAGTTCAATCCCCAGCCAGGGAGATACCCACATGGCGCAGCAGACCTGTCCTGACTTGTCCACTGCTCCCCTCAGCAGTGTATTTCAGTCAGTCTGCCTGTTCTGTTCTCCACTCTGTCTCTGGTGAATCCTCTCACCCCTGGAACCTCTGGCCTGTACCCCAGTTTTTGTGCATACATAAATAAATAAGTCTTTAAAAAATATAGGTGCCTTTGTGGTTGTGTTAGGTGTGGTGTGGTAACATACATCTAAAGAGGTGTGAACCAATACCTCTGAGTCATACAGAGTCATAAATCAAGGTTACCTCAAAAAAATTATATATAATTTAAAAAAGAAAGTGAAAACAATTAGGGAAACTAGTCTTTTCTTCGTTTGGTGCTGTGTGAAAATTCCTCTGGAATATATTCTTAGAAGTATGATTCCTAACTTTTTGGGTATATTAATTAATTAATGCTTAATCTGATGAAGTACTGCCAGCTTACTTTCTAGGCTAATTTGATTGAGTCTCCATACCCACAAACAGTGTGTATAAGTATTCATATTCCTCATATCTTGCTGAGTGACTTACTTGACTTATTAATCTGTACAACAACTCAAATAGAAAGTGAAGTATTCTTCTTTCAACTTGAAAATGAAAATTTTAGGACATAGAGAACTAAATAGCTTAGTCAATTTCATACCTGGTAGAGAGAGAGAGATGGGGTAAATTCAGTGGCATATTTCCAAAGTTTTCTTTCCATTGTTATATTTGATGTAAGGCCTTTGCCCTCCTGATTCTGGGCAGGAAAAGTAGTCTGAGCCACAATGCTATAACTTACCCCTTCTCCTTGCCCTACTTCACATTTTCTTAGCAGAAACTGTCACACCATATATGTAGCTATGAGTGTTCAAGAAATTTGTTTTTTTAAATTCCTCAATTTGGCAACAACTTTAAACAAAGCGGATACATGTTTGACTTAACTCAGGAACACAAACAAACACTTAGTGAACTAACATTTGGCCAGATGCTGTCTAGGTGCAACACTGAAAAGAAATCCAGTTGAAACAGAAATTCTGTCTGGAAGGTACAAAATAAATACATCTAAGTCAGGTAAGTATGTAAACAAATGTTTATTCATTCTCTTACATTGGAAAAAGGTGCAAGAGCACTTTCTCCACTGTTTCTTCAGATAGAAAAGTTAAAGTTATTAAATCAAGGAGAGTTGTCATTTGGGGAGATTCCAAGCAGTCTTATGGGAGGAGGAAGTAAGGGAAGCAGCCCCCATCACTATCCCCTCTCTTCAACCTGTGCAGGAAGTAAGAGGTTATATTGTCTGTAAAAAATATTTAAAAACAGTAACAAAATCAGTTTTGAAGTAGGAAAGCCTTCTTTTTATTATCATCATGCACTGGAAATTCTAAACACTGTCAATGATAAAATATTCACCAACATTTCTTAGGTGAACCTATCTTTATGCTTTGTGTTTCAATAAACTGTTACATTTCAAAGGAAGAAGATAAATTTTGCCTTGAGGAATACTGTCTTAGTTCTTTGTTTACCACTCTGATGAATAGGTCTAGTCATTAGTAAAATATATATGTACATATATATGTATATTTGTGTGTGTGTGTGTGTATATATATATATATATATATATATACATTGTTTGTTTGCATTGTTCTCAAGCAAGCCCTCAACTGAGGTAGAAATGTTGCCATTCCATTTTTTAATGTAAAAGCTAACTTCATTGGAAAAAGTGTGCAATTCTAAACGTTATTTTGTCAACTGCTTTTGCTACGTCTGTTTAGGGTTGAATAAAGGGAGAAAATGGGGAAAGAAACTTCTCTAGTAAAGAGGGATAACATGTTGGCAGGCCTACGTAAAAGGCTGGTAATGCAGCATAGCAAATGGACTCCAGAAGTTATGCCATCATACTATCTAACTTTGAAGTTTCTGAATATGTGCTTCAGAAAAACATTACAGCCTAATGTTAGCTGCACTCACGGAATTACTGGAAGAATCCATGCCATGCAAAGGCTGAGAGAGGGCTGGGTAAATACCTAAAGGAGCATGGAGTCATGATTGTGGAATGGCAAAAGGTTGCCGGAAGAGAAACTTGGAGTGAATTTTGTGTAAGAGCAAGAACGGACATGGCAAAATGTAAGCTTGGGAGTCACCGCTCTATGCCTAGCAAAACTGTGCCAGAAACAAACTCTAAATAGTGACTAGAACTTGGGAAGTTCATGTTTCTCTAAATGTTTGGCCAGTAATCCTTATTAGCTACTTGCTTTCCTATGTACAAAAGTGGCCAATTTACACCTTTTCTAGGGGAATTCCAAAATTTGAGTTTAAATGAGAACTCGCTCATTTCTTAAAACCTGCAAAAATAATGGGAAAATTAACAATTTTCCTTATGGCAATTCGTTTGGAAATTTTCATGCCTTGGGAATTCTCAGAATTTCACCCAATACATATGACAAGGTTTGAAATGTACATGCTGAAACATAGATTTTATTTTTCTGACAAAGAAAAGGATTACCTGATAAAAGATCTTGAAAATATTCATGTTGTAACTAACAGGCTATGCTAAGTGCTACAAGAGAAATTAAAAAAAGTTATGAAAGGAAAGGAAAATCAAATTGTATTTTTGGAGTGCATTTAAAAATCCAGTGTGGGGCCTCCCCTGGTGGCACAGTGGTTGAGCGCTGCGCTGTGAAGCTGTCCACAGCCTCTGCTCAGTGGTCTAGGATAAAGGGTGCTCTGATGGTGGGTGTGGTGTGGTAATGATACAGGGTGCGGTGTGGTGATGAAACTAGCCAAGGACACTAGTTTACTAGTCACCATCTGAGTTCTTCACCCACATGCACAATTTCAAGACTATTCAAGTACATAGACCAACAATGGGATTTTTTTTTAAAGATTTATTTATTTATTTATTCATACACACATTGGGTATAGTCAGAAGCGCGGGAGGGTGAGAGAATTCACCAGAGCCAGAGTGAGGAGCAGAGCAGGCAGAAGGACCCAAGTACACTGCTGAGGGGAGCAGCGGGCGGCAGGAGAGGTCTGCGCGCCATGTGGGACCCTCCTCCAGTGGCCGGGGAGCAGCCGGGGATTGAACCTGCGCTGCAGAGGCTGCGGGCAGCTTCACAACCCAGCGCTCAACCGCTGCGCCACCAGGGAGGCCCAACAATGGGATTTTTTTTTTTAACAAACTAGGGAATAACAAAGAGTTACTGAGGCCTAAAATGGCCATTTATCTCACCCAAAGCAGTGTCCAGTATTTTGAAGTCCAAAGCACAAATGCTCCCAAGATGGTGCCTTCACACTGCTGAAGACATAGAGCGCATGACAGCCAGATTATAGGCTGGGTATCAACTCATGAAGATGGAAGAAGACACAACAGGAGATACTCACAGAGCTGCTGAGGTGCCCCAGCACAGCACCAGAGAAATGACACTCAAAACAACAACGGCAGTGGCCAAGTGATTGACAAATGGCCTGCTCACACAGCTCAGCAAGGCACTCAGCTCTGTGTCTTGGCCTTCCTGCCAGGTTGTAACAGCAGCAAAACTGGGAACAGTTTCAGTCACTTGGATACTTTCAAAGCCTCCAGACTTTTCCTCTCTGAAGTTGGCTGCTGGAAACCTCTCTCCACCTTCTTCAGAGGCCCACAACAGCCTTCTAGAAGATCTGCATGGTGGGGGAAGAAATTGCTGACCCCAGAATCCCTAAAGATCTGAAAATACTGAAATCCCAAACCCTGCATCTCGAACCTGAATTCTGGGGGCTACATCTGCAGTCCCTTATATTTTTTATCAATGTCTCCACCCTCGCTGATACTTTGTTCACATTTTTCCTGCAGTTATCCATCCTCACCAGCAACCTCCTCCAGGAGGCACCACCAATTATCAGAGTCCTAGCCTTCAGCCAACACTTACAGCGGCCAACAGTTACACATCTGAGATGATAGTACATATTCCTCCAATTTTATAGGGGTTTTTTTAGATTTATTTATTTATTTATTTTTGCTTAGCACTGGGGTACATGCCAGAGGTGTGGGGGGTGAGAGGATTCACCAGAGACAGAGCGGGGAACAGAGCAGGCAGACTGAAATACACTGCAAGAAAGACAGGAGAGGTCTGCGGCACCATGTCGGTTAGCTCCCTGGCCTGGGATTGTACTCAGGCCATCAGAGTGGTCCTTTGTGGTAGTAGCACTGAAACTTAACCCCTATGTCACCAGGGAGGCCCTATATACAATGTTATAAACCAATGTCACCAAAAAAATTAGGGAAAAAAAAGTCAGTCCAAGTTGAGGCCAGTCCAAGTTGAGGCCAATAGGAGATGGTCCCAGGGCCCCTGCTAAGAAAATGAAGTTCAAGAAAAAGGCA